TGACTATGGCTGTAACTTGGTTCTCCAGTTATTCAGTATTTAATATTATATACTCTGGAGATTCTAACGATGCTTGCATTCCATGTGGAAACTGGTCAGATTCTTCAGCATCACTTTGCAGTGGAGCAACTTCCAAGTGATGGAACATGTTGGTCTTGAAAGTTGGGGAATTGAAAATGGCAACAGTGGTTTCTATTTTCTGCGAGGACGATTGTAGGGGTTATTTAGTATATTCTGCTTTTAACAGTTGAAATATGTAAAGTTTAACAATTAAAAAAACCCAACCCACAAACAATAGACTACAACAAAAGAAAAATAGGGAATAAAGAAAAACAAGAAAACAGGAAAAAAGAAAAAAAAAAAATAAAACACTCACAATAACTCAAATACCAAAACATTATCAACTAACAAACAAAATAAAATCATAAAAAAGACAAAAAACGACAAAACGCGACATAAATAAACAAGAAAAAACAATACATACACCGGCAAAAAAAAAATAACGTAACAAGCAAATGATGAAGGAAATCAATTATTTTTGCAGAGACTTAACAAAGGACCCAACACAATAACAAAGCAAAAAAGATAAAAACAGGCACGCACATGAACTTAAACAATAAAATAAACACAAAAGAGTCCAAAAACGACATAAAAACACCAACACACATTGATATATACCTGCTTCCATTGTCGAGCGCCATTAGCTGAGGCACTACTCCGGGTGTATTCTCGCGATATGCGTACGTACGTGTCGGTCACGCTTAAGAATGTCAATAGTCACCAAAGAAGTGTAACTTCCGTCATTCGTAGGAAGTCTAGCTTCCGCCGTGCGCGCAGATTCGTAGGAAGTCTGGCTTCGCATCGCAGTCAGTAGAGCGCGCGCACGAGCGCCTCAGTCGGACTGTTTACGCATTGGCTGGCAGGCGCGAGGAAAAATAATTATGCGCGTGCGCATTCCTAGTACTACAATTTAAACCAAAACAACCTTCCATGAATATATGAACCATGATATTTGCACTCAGAAAGTATCATGAGTGATATATCGTGAACATGAACCCGCGTGTTGTTTGTTTACTTTTACTTTAGGCAAAAGCTTTTGCTCGCAAAGTAATAATTATTATGAATGTCCCCTGCAGTGACATGTGAAGATTGCGATAAAAACGCGGACTGTATAGAGGGACAGTGTGTGTGTAAGAGTGGCTATACAGGAGATGGATTATCATGTGAAGGAGGCAAGTTTCAAATTTTAGTTGTTATAATTATTCCTCCTAGAGAAAATTGTATCATTAATCGGTAGCAGGATGGCACCACAGAGATAGGGTGCAACTTCCTCTGGTGCTCCGCCAGAAGCTAGGAGGTTGATCGTCTGTAGACGTGAGCACAAATAGCTTGATAATATTATGTCCACGTTTCACGCTCAGAGTTGCCGCAGTTACCGAGAAAAACGGTGGACAGGCAGAAGGACGGACACGCACAGACCGACTGCAATAAGGGTATATACCCTCGCTGCGCGCGCAGGCGAGGGTTATTGCAGTCGGTCTGTGTGTGTCCGTGTCCCGTGTGTGTCCGTCTGTCCACCGTTTTTCTCGGTAACTGTGGCAACTCTGAGCGTGAAACGTGGACGTATTATCAAGGGGGAGGCATGCATGGTAGGAGCGGAGAAGGCCGGGGAAGCTGGCGAAACGGACGGGCCGGCTGCCGAGAGTGTGCGTCAAATAGAGATCACAGCCGATCGCTGTACTTAGATGCTGGATGCTTTACGCATGTGGAGAAGATTTGCTGGTCTGCCTGTATTGATGGTGCATACCCAAATAAAAAAGTGTGTACCCAAATGAAACCTGGGTACGCAAATTAAAAAAATGTGTACCCAAATGAAAACCTGGGTACCCAAATTCTCCCCCCATACGAAAGAGGGTCTGGTGTATATAAGGTCTAAAAATGTAGAGCATGTTTTTTACCACTGCTGTGTCACTTCTTTTTTATGTGCAATGCACCTGTGACCCCACAGTGCAAGGGCTTGCTTGCACAGACATGGATGCACAGGCATTAGTAGCGAAAATTAACACGATTTTATGCCTAGCAGTTGCGCCCTTTGAGCACCATAATAATATGGATGTGCATTCAACTCTTGCCGTGTAGCCAACTAACAAAACTTGGCACACTTTCTAACCAGGCATGTATTGCTAGTTGCGTATCAAGTTGACCATTGAACAATACAATTAATGATAATCTGTTTTTTTTCAGCACCACCTCAGCGTAATTTGTCCGTCTTAATGAGCTGTAATACTTCTCTTGACGACGGTAGACCTATTTCGATCAATTGGACGGTTAGTTCATATCCTGTGTTGTGTGTCATGGAGATGTTGTCTACTGTGTACGTACACACCCAGGGTGGTGATAGAGAGGTAGGGGTGGTATATCCTGGAGAAGAATTGGTGCTGGTTGAATTAACTTCTCCAAGTGGGACCGTGGAGCAAGTGTGCAGTGATGTGAATGGATGTAGTTCTGAAATCTCTGAAAGTGGCAACTACACAGTTTCACTGACTATCACTAATATGATAGGATCATTCATGGCTGTGACAACCTTTAGTTGTGAGTCAGATAATAGATGTGTGCCCCTAATTTACCTTTTCCTTTCTCCAGCTGAAATTCTGTTTTCTGACGAAACCCTAAACTCTTTACCCTCAAGTGTTAACATAACTGTGAATCCTGTCTGTGCCACTGATGGCAGAGTTTTTGAAATCACAGTTAGATTTGGAGTAACAACAACAGATACTGGGGGTAGCTGTTTATATAAGGGTGCCAGTCAGACTGCAAATTCTTCATATATATTTTCCCCTGATTTTACTCCGGCAAATGGAGAGAGTTTCTGCTACATGGCTAACCTTACCATTGATGGGACAACTGTTGCTAGTAAGTGATGTATTTGTGGTCCAACAGCCTTACATTACTGCCTTATGCAGGTCTCAATGGCTCTGGTGACATAACTCCTACTGAATCACCTACTCCTGACTCTAACCGACCGGATGTTGGTGTCATTATCGGCAGTGTGGTTTGCGTCATCTAACTTTATGGACTGTTGCAACATCACGACTCTAGTCCAGTAATTTCAGCGTTTACACCCTTTAGCTAAGTGTTACTCCTCTTCCCTTTTCAAAGTGGTGCATATTCACTAACCACTGCACATGAGTATAATAGTGTAAGACGAAAATTAACCACAAGGTTCACTAGAGAATCCAGCTACTTTTTTCTTAGCACTATTGCATAGTATCCTTCTTCATCAACAGAGAGGTATATAATGGGTGCAATAATAAGTCACGTGAAAGGTCATTAACCCTTGCCTGCGCGCATGCTCAGCGAGGGTTATTGCAGTCGGTCTGTCTGTCTGTGTGTGTGTGTGCGTGTGTCCGTCCATCCATCTGTCCACCGTTTTTCTCGGTAACTGCGGCAACTCTGAGCGTGAAACGTGGATGCGTGGTAAAATAAGATTCTGGAGCGGAGATGGCCGGGGAAGCTGGTGAAACGGACGGCTGCCGTGGTGAGTGTGCGTCAAATAGAGATCCCGGACGATCGCTGTGCTCAGATGCTAGATGCTTTGCTCGTGTGGAGAAGATTTGCTGGTCTGCCTGTATTGATGAAATATTACAGCTGAAAATTATTAAAGGAAGAGCAGTCTCTGATCTTCTCCGAGACAGCCAACTATTTGTGGGCTATGCATTTACTCATGGTCTCCCGCCAGTAGCCCGCGGAGAGTCTGACACAAGCTAGCTACCGTAGTAGATAACAAGAGGGAGTCGATACATGCCATTTGTTTTGACTTCTTGAGCCCCCAAGGTACACAGAACGAGCGGATAAGGTCGCGGTAAGTCCAGTCGATTATGCATTATTAGCTTTTTTTCACGGCATATCTCTCGACCGCAGTCATTTCAGGAAAATTGCCCTATTATTTATCAGGCTCGCATAGTTCTGAAGCCGCTGGTATCGCTAATAGGCCGCCTCGTAGCCTGTAGTGCCAGAATAAGCATCAAAACACAAACACACAGACAGACAGACAGACAAACCAATTCCAATTACGGTAACCCTCGCAGCACATGTGCACCGAGGGTTATTTAGTTATCCAGTAGCATTAAACTGTCTTGATTGAGACTTTTATACCCATTCAGCAAGGTTTATTCGTGCACTGTCACATAATTGTATACTTATGAGACACTGAAGCATTCATATGCACTTTTGTTATTCTCCTTTCAGTCGGTAAAATGGCGACAATTAGTGGTACCGCACATGCGCAGTTCGCCGAGGGTTTGCACTTTAGTGCTTTTCATTTTACCAGCAAGACGACCAAACCTGCTCCAATTTCCAGTGCAACTATTTCCTTTGCAATAGGTACATAGGTCAACACACCCAGAAGAAGGTGGTCAGGAGGCAGGCTCCATCGCCCGCACAGCTCATCCTGAAACTGGGGAGATCTACACTGAAGTCAGCATGCCAAGAAACACTGAGCAGGTGAACTCTGCCCCCTTGTACATACATAGTCTTCAGTAGCCAAGCCTAATTGCTGTTGATAATAGATGCCAGTTACAAAGCCTTGTATGCAACTCAACCGCAATGTATGTGCGCACTTTGCATACCTGTCTCTCCCCTAGGCTCCCACCACCATTGAACATCATGAAGGACCCAGCGGAGACCTGTATCCCATGCCACAGACATCAGAGAAGAATGGGAAGAAGGACAAGAAGAAGGGGAAGGGGAATGTGGAGGAGGAAGCAGGACAGCAGGAGCTGACAGAGGAGGAGAAGGCTGCCTTGTACGCTGTCCCTGACAAGAAGGGACAAAAGGCCAGAAGTGAAGGGGTCAGGAATAGACTTTTATAGTACTCCATGTGTGTCTGTGTCCATGCCGCTTCTGACTCTTCTGGCTACATGGCAGCCAATGAGGGACACCAGTGGCTTCAGGGCTACGAGGGGTTAAATAAATATTGGTGATTTTCCTGGAACTAGCAATACAATACTATGCTTATACTTGAGAAGGTTATTCCCAGTACCTACTGATGCTGTTAGAGTGATAAACTCTCCGTCAATGTGTTAGACAGTGTGGCTTATGTTGCCAGATTTATCGATGTATGCGCATGTGTATATCTGCATAATATGACGCTAATAACACACATTTGTGCTGATTGTTAACCCTCGGCACGCATGCGCAGCGAGGGTTACAGTAGTTGTCATGTGTGTCTGTCTGTCTGTCTGCCTGTTATATACCCAACATCTCACTTCACGAGCCATGAATCGCTCCACAAACAATACCACGTATTCAACGTCTGGTATAGGTTGAAATGAATGTAGGGTTTTCTCTGAAACTGCTGCGTTCGAGAGTTACGGTGAGAAAACCAAGTAAAGAAGCTAATATGGAAATTAGCACAGGCTTACCTCGACCAGATACACTTGCTCTGCGTACCTTGGAGGCACAACAAGCCACAACAAAGAGCGTGTATCGACTCCCGCATGCTACCCACTACTGTAGATACTAGCATGGAAACCATGAGCAAATGCATACTCTTGGCCCAAGCCATCAATTGCACTTCATCATTCACATGGTATATAGTCGGTAGTAATTGAAGTGCTTGAAGCAAAACTACACTACAAATGGTCTAGGCATGGCTGTCATTCTGTTTTTTCTACCCACTCTGTAAAGGCACTTTAGCATAATTATTATGTACTGCCTGTTGTGTGTTTCTTTGCCTTGTGCCACTACAATATGATGTGAGTTTTGGCCCTAGGGGAATGCCTGCACTCATGACATCTTTTCCTTTGTTATTGCAATACACCATTCCACATTATCAGAGAGTCGGGAGACTCTATATTATAGGGACGACACGGGTGAAATCTCACGTGATCCGCGTACAAAACGACTAAAAACTCGGTGAGAATCACTCCCTAGGCCTTCAAAACATACTAGCAATAGTCTACGGGCCCATATCTACCTATACATGTCCCCCAAGACCTCATACGCACCTTCAGTCGTCCACGCGAGAATTCGCTCATACGCGATTTCACGATTTTCGTGTCATCATCATATTCTTCATCTTCTTCTTCTTCTTCTTCTTCTTCAGACCCGCTAGCTCCTTACCGGAAGCACTTGAAGCGTTGATTTTTTCACAGAACGTCTCCGAATTTGCCGGAGGTGTGCACGCATATCAAGCGATCGTTTCTTTCTTGCCGCAAGTCACTACGGTAGATCGTTGAGCTCTTCCTCGGTAGTCACTGAACAACGCCATTTGTTGCTAACTCAGCATCAGTGAGCCGCATGCGCCGAGGAGGGCGTTTCCAATGCGGTGCGCGCGCATTTTGTCTCGTAAACCTGGTCCACGAACGAGACTAAGCCAGGACTGGATGCCTTCAGAGAAAACTACTCTCATCCTCCAGTGCCTTCTGTAAGTCAGTGTGCACATTTGTAAGTGGCTAGCTTGCGTTTTGCTGTTGATTTGCACGAGGAGCAACTTGGCAATCTGCGCCGTGTTACGCGTGCCTTGCCAGGCGCCTTCATTCTTTGTCCCCCAGGTTATAGCTATCATTGTAGTCTGATTTCTGAAGCCTGCCCAATTAAACCACCACCATATGTGCCACAACCTAATCGCGTCCTTGTTGGAGACACTGCTTCAGGTAAGAGCAGTCCATTAGCTTCTGCTTTCAACAGTTATCTCTACAACATATCAGAATGACTGAAAATGCAGTGTTGTCATATAAACTGTTAAAAATAGTGGAAACAAGTGGAAAAATCATTTCTTCAAAATGAAAGTAGGATATAGGGATTTTTTTTTTTTTATTTATATTTTTTTTATAAAACTTTATGCAAATGCATGGATACACAAGAAGCAGTGCTTATTAATAAGTGTACCCTATTGTATAATACTTAATACATGAGAGACAAAATATAGCCGAGAAGCATTTTTTTGAAGCCCATTAAAGACTGTGAATCTGTGACATGGTTTGGTAATGTGTTCCAGACTAAGCAGGTAAGAGGAACATAGGAATATTTCAGGCTGTTTGTTCTTGCAAATGGTTGAACAAACAGTGACGTTAAACCAGATGAGCGGAGATGGGTTGGGGGCTTTGGGATGAAAACATTAATGGGGAAGTCCACAAGTTCATTTATTATCTTGTACATTGTGCATAAGCTGAGGTAGAGCCTACGATCCCTAAGAGAGGGGATATTGAAGAGAGAGAGAAGTTCAAGGTAGTCAGCGTTCCACCTCTTAGTGCACATGCGCAGTCCAAATTTTTGTACTTGTTCCACCTTTTTTATGTCTTTTTTCAGGTGTGGGCTCCAAACTTCACACGCATACTCCAGGTGTGGACGAACAAGAGTGCTATATAGGTTGAACAGTGTGGCCGGGTCAGTGTCGCCCTGAAACTGCCTGTAAAGAAGCCCAACCAGCTTCCTGGCTTTGGAACACTTGGCATGTATGTGGTCTGACCAAGAGAGATCTGAGGTGATTTGGACTCCGAGATACTTGTATGTATATACTCTCTCTAAGATGTTGTTGCCAAGTTGTAGATGAAGATGAGGTAGTGGTATGTGTTTCCTGGATATTACCATTTGCTTACATTTCGCTGGGTTGAAAGCCAAGCAATTTGTTGATGACCAGTTATATATTAGATTCACGTCATTCTGCAAGGCGTTGTAGTCATGTGGGGAGTGAATACCTTTGTATAACAACACATCATCAGCGTAGAGTACCATCTTTGTTCCATGGGAAAGTTGAAGATGTGACAGGCTGTCTATATACAGAAGAAACAGTAGAGGGCCCAAGACCGAACCTTGCGGAACCCCTGATATAACTGGAGTTGATTGGGAGATTTCTCCTCCAACTACCACTCTCTGGTGACGTCCAGACAAATAGTTGCATATCCATCTAATAAGAGCCGAGTTGAGTTGAATTGATTTCAGTTTGGAGATCAGCTTGCGGTGTGGGACAGAGTCAAAAGCTTTCCTAAAGTCAAAGAAAACAGTACAGGTCTCTATTCCAGAGTCCAAACTTTGCATCCACTCATTTGTAACACTAAGCAGTGCTAATGTAGTACTCCTTCTGGCTCGGAAGCCCCATTGGTTGACTGCTAGCGGGCGAGTCAGGGACAGGTGCTCGGTGATTAGGCAATGTACATGGCGCTCAAATACTTTGCTGAGAATGGATAACAATGATATTGGTCGGTAGTTTGAGGGACTAGCACAGTCCTCTGATTTGGGTATAGGCACTACATGTGATGTTTTCCAAACTGTTGGAAAGCAGCCTGTTTGCAGTGACAGGTTGAATATGTCAGTGACGGAAGGTGCTATACTTTTTGCAGTTTCTTTTAACATCCAAGCAGAAATACCATCAGGGCCATTTGCCTTGGAAGTGTCCAGTTGTAACAGATGGTGTTCAACATATTCTACTGTACAAAGAATATCATCTATATCAGTGAGCTCTACAGCACCGAGATCATCATAATCGGCAAAGCTCAGAGGTGGAACAGAATAGTTAAAGCACTTTGAGAAGAAGCTGTTTAACATTTTTAGCCTTTTCATAGTTTGATGAAGCATTGGTACCATCTTCAGAAAGGGTCGGAATAGATGTTTTCCGCTTATTTAGATTTTTCACAGCCTTCCAAAATCTTTTTTTGTCAAATGACCTGAGTCCCTTTAGGTATTTCTGTTTAGAGAGTCTCAGCATGCTAGTGAGCTTATTTCGGAACCTTTTGTAGCTTTCATAGTCAGTTCCATGACCAGTTCGCCTAGCTTTCTGAAAGAGAACCTTCTTTTTCTTAGTGGCCTGGATTAGTTGCTTTGTTAGCCAGGGAAGATTTTTTCTTGGGCGCAGCACTGCTTTGGGAATGCATCTTTGCATGATGCTAATAAAAGCAGTCTGCCATTTCACGAGCGAAGCATTGACATCTTCACTCATCACAGATTTCCAGTCAGTGTGGTCGATAAGATATCTCGCTTTACAAAAGTCGGCTTTTGCATAGTTCCAGACAATTCTTGCAGGGTTGGATGACTCTGGAGTAGCACTGGGCTTCTGCAGGCAGATAAGCAGGCCATTGTGATCAGAGTTTGCCAGGGGGGGGATGACATCACATGAACTTAAAAAAGATGATTTTGAGAGATATACCAGGTCAATCAGTGATTCAGGACCATGTTGGTTATTGTGAGTTGCAGATGTAACAATTTGACACAAGTTAAATGGTAAGAGACAGAGTTCTAATTTCCTATACAAAAACGAGTTAGTAAGAAAATAGTTTACATTAAAGTCACCTACAAGTACGAAACGAGAAAAGTATATCGAGTCTAAGGAACTTAAAGCTAAACACAACCTGTCAAAAATATCTGTAACTGAAGTAGGTGGTCTGTAAAATACACCTATACAGTAAGATATATTTCTACATGATACAGAAATAACAATTAATTCAAGATCACTAGGACCTGCTAGTATGACCTTTGCTGAGAAACTAGAAATAACATATCAGAGAGTCGGTAGACTCTCTATATAGGGACGACACGGGTGAAATCTCACGTGATCCGCGTACAAAACGACTAAAATCTCGGTGAGAATCACTCCCTAGGCCTTCAAAACATACTAGCAATAGTCTACGGGCCCATATCTACCTATACATGTCCCCCAAGACCTCATACGCACCTTCAGTCGTCCACGCGAGAATTCGCTCATACGCGATTTCACGATTTTCGTGTCATCATCATATTCTTCATCTTCTTCTTCTTCTTCTTCTTCTTCTTCTTCAGACCCGCTAGCTCCTTACCGGAAGCACTTGAAGCGTTGATTTTTTCACAGAACGTCTCCGAATTTTCCGGAGGTGTGCATGCATATCAAGCGATCGTTTCTCTCTTGCCGCAAGTCACTACGGTAGATCGTTGAGCTCTTCCTCGGTAGTCGCTGAACAACGCCATTTGTTGCTAACTCAGCATCAGTGAGCCGCATGCGCCGAGGAGGGCGTTTCCAATGCGGTGCGCGCGCATTTTGTCTCGTAAACCTGGTCCACGAACGAGACTAAGCAAGCACTAGATGCCTTCAGAGAAAACTACTCTCATCCTTCGGTGCCTTCTGTAAGTCAGTGTGCACATTTGTAAGTGGCTAGCTTGCGTTTTGCTGTTGATTTGCACGAGGAGCAACTTGCCAATCTGCGCCGTGTTACGCGTGCCTTGCCAGGCGCCTTCATTCTTTGTCCCCCAGCTATCATTGTAGTCTGATTTCTGAAGCCTGCCCAATTAAACCACCACCATATGTGCCACAACCTAATCGTGTCCTTGTTGGAGACACTGCTTCAGAGAGCAGTCCATTAGCTTCTGCTTTCAACAGTTATCTCTACAACATACCCATGAACATCAGAGTGACTGAAAATGCAGTGTTGTCATATAAGCTGTTAAAAATAGTGGAAACAAGTGGAAAAATCATTTCTTCAAAATGAAAGTAGGATATAGGGATGACTTGAAGCACCAAAAAGGAAGAAACAAGGGGTCATTACACACCAAATATGCACAAAGCCACATGACACCATCCCTATATCTTTGTTTTATTGTTCATAGGCAAAGTTTAATATGAGACAAAGATATAGGGATGGTGTCATGTGGCTTTGTGCATATTCGGTGTGTAATGACCCCTTGTTTCTTCCTTTTTGGTGCTTCAAGTCATCCCTATATCCTACTTTCATTTTGAAGAAATGATTTTTCCACTTGTACAATGACTCCACCACCATGCCGGTTTTTGTCCAGTCTGAATATGTGATAGTTTGGTATGCTCAATTCAACATTGCTGATCTCTTCTGAAAGCCATGTTTCAGTAATGCAGACAACATCAGGTGTCTCAGCTTCAACTATAGCACAGAGTTCATCTAGTTTGGGGAGTAAGCTTCTTGCATTGAAGTACAGTATTCTAAACTTTTCTTTTTTTTTCACAGGCTGGGTGACGAAAGAGCTTTCGCCCTGCACGGCATGCTTGTAGGAATTCAGGTGTGACTGTGAAGGTTGTGCAGGCTGGGGCCAAAAAAAACGCAGCATCTTGGCTTGGTGAAGAAGAAACATCTGCAAGTGCCAATGCAGTAGCAACAGTGGCTGGGTCATCATGACTGGCTACAGCTGGTGACAAAGCAGCAGAAACTGTGGTTGTATAAGCTACAGCTGGTGACAATACAGAAGGAACAGGAGTTGCGTTGTTGCTACAGGGTATTGCTGTGTCACTGTAAACCTCGCTGTTGCCAACATTATTGTGGTTACTATGCAGAGGGAGAGATTCTGTTAGTCTTTCGACTGGTGTACTGCATCTTTCTAACCGCCATCCTGTTTGCAACTTTATATTCTCCCAATTCTCTTCGAGTGGTTTCAGGATTGCTTCCTCCTCTGCATGAATAATGTACCACCACCTTGGCTTCCCTGCGCCAGCAGATTTATATTTTCGTTTAACGTGGATGCTTTCAATATTCTCAATGCCAGCTAATTGCACAATTGCGTTTTTGACGCTGAGATGGGAAGACGATTTAACTGTTCCCCAAATACGGCGTACCCCAGTAACCACCTCTCTCGCTCTGTGTTTGTCAGAGTCAATAGCTGCACTTCCGGAATGACCGGAGTCAATGGCTCCACTGCTTGGCATGCCGATACTCTTCCCACCCGTTCTCCTCCCTCTGGCCCCACCTCTCCCACCCCTACCAGCACCCCTATGCCCATCCCCTCCCATGTTGTCATTTGAGATGAGATCAGACTCTTTAGCCCTCTTTTGATACAAGCGCCCCACTTCACCCCCCCTCCCATCTTTCCCATCCTTCCCCGTAGGCCGTCTACCCCCTGCGGTGACATTCCTTACAGTAGCTGGTAAAGCAACTGCACCTGTAGCTCTGTCTTTTCCGGTGACTCCAACGTCGATAATAGATTTTCGCAGGTCCTCGAGTTCCGCGGCTAGCGACTTCACCTGTTCTTTCAACTCCGCTGTAACCCGTTCGTGGGTCTGCAAATTACAGGAATAGCAGAGAAACGGGATGGACGTCGAGGACGTCGAAGTCAGGTTCTCGAAGTGTTTCACTGGAATACCAGCACAATATCGGTGCATCCACCCGTTGCATTCGCCTTCGCAGAAGAGAGCGTCGTCCTATCCATCGACAATATAGTTTGAGCAAACGCAGCACTCAGAGACGCCCATGGCTGCCTCAGAGACACCGCCCATGGCTGCCGTGGCTCCACTCGCCGTCTGCTTCTTTGCCTTACTAGTTGCCTTTCTCTTTGGCGGCATATTTACAAAGAGGGAGAGCTGAGCCAACTATTCACCTTTTCACAAAATTCCACAGAACTCCTGCAGATGCAGTCTATGTTCATAAGCAAAGTTTAATATGAGACAAAGATATAGGGATGGTGTTATGTGGCTTTGTGCATATTTGGTGTGTAATGACCCCTTGTTTCTTCCTTTTTGGTGCTTCAAGCCATCCCTATATCCTACTTTCATTTTGAAGAAATGATTTTTCCACTTGTGTAAGTAAACATTGCCCCAATATGTTGTATGCCTGAGCAATGGCTCATAATAGCCTGACCAACTACAGATAGTATCTTGTGACACAAGGACGTGGTGACATCAAGCCTGCAGTTCTCTGAGTCAACCTTTGAGACTGGAGGGGAATTGGGGATGTTGCAGCATAATTATAAGGACTAAATTTACTAAAGAAGGCAACCAGTGTAGTGGGTACTATTGCTTTACTTCCCTCATTACTAAAATTTATTTAGCCCTAACTTACCCATTCCATAAGCTGTACTCCTTTAGGCCTAACCATTTCCATTTGTTGTGTTATAATTATTCAGACTTCTGACCATTGACCAAACGCAAGAGAGAAATTTCAATGTTTTAGTAAAGTTTTCTTGGCAACTTTTTCTGTCAGAAGTCTATTTGTTCATTCAGACAAGCATGTTGTATCAAGCGGTTTGCACCACTTCTAGTTAACTCACCCACATTTCTCCTTGACCTGACCATGTGATTGCACTGTACTTGCATTCATATGTGCCCAAATTATGTTGCTATTCCATCAAGTATGTGGTAATGATTGTTCTAATCTCTCTGCAGTTAAACTATGCTGAGCTGGCTCTCCAGTCCAGCGCCAAGCCAGCCCCTCCCTCCCAGGGATCTTACTATTCTGACATCAGGCTTGAGAACTGAACAAGACTTATTTTAACTGCTTGACTGATGATGTGTGCACTTGTACAGAACACTGTAGAGTAGGATACTCTAGTGTATTGAATTCTGTAAATATGCGACCCAATCCGCTGGAATTTCTATTTTGCAAATGCACCGCAAGTGCTACATTTGTCAATCCCTTTGTGCATGTTTGTGTGATGTGAACTCTTTGTGTAAAAGGGGGTTGTAGTCTTTACTGGTCTGGTGCACATGCATAAAACTGGACATGGTGGTGCACCATACATTTTTAGTTAACAGACACTGTGACGGCCCAACTGTGTGTACATACATAAAGTGCCTGTACAGGGTATATACTTGTGTGGGTTCAAATCCCACCTAGGAGTCACTCTTTTCCCCTGTCGTGGGTGTCCTGTTGTTTGCTTTGCCGTGAGACGATGTTGACACATAGTTGTGCTGCTCAAGCTAATACCTCGTTTGAATGTACTTTTTAACAACTTAAAATTTCAACAAATACATGCAGCATCATTGTGAGAGACTAGTTAATAAGTTCTAGCAGTCGTAGTCTCTGGCAGGGTGAACCTGGATGAGGGCAAACTTGCTGTAGCTGTCTCTCGTGGCAAGGGTTGGATGGTGATTCATACACTCAACTGGTACTCCATCCATCTCAGCAGTAGCCAGTACCCCGATGGTCTCAGTGGGGATCCTCCCTGTAATATCAGGGGTAAACGATCTCTCGGCCGTCACCCCCTCCAACCCAGGGAGATTCCCTGCACCGTTGTATACATAGCCATGATTGGTGAAATCCCCAATCCTCCATTTAATGGTGCCGGGCATTTTGATGCCACAGGAGAAGTTGGCCCACTGTCCCTCAGTGACTACGACGGAGTGTGGGTGTTCTCTGATTGGATTGAGAGCCCTTCTGACTCTATAAGCTGTAGTTGACATGCACGACAATGTGATAAGCAATGTTTTTTAATTAAAGACTGCCCAACAGAGATAGGCACAATATAATAGGGGAGTCTTATTCTACCTCTTTATCTGACAGTGAACGAACATTGATTTTTACAAGTCTCCAGTAGCTATATATACACTCTGGCAGTTGTAAGGATGGCAAAGTCAATTGATATGCAAATAAACTGAAACCCAGAGAGGACACTTAACTAAGCTACTGCCTTCATAATAGCTAATTGCTCCCCGAAGTGGGACAGCTGTGGAGTTGTGGTTTTGGTATAATTAATTGGGCGTCCACCTACAAAGCATTAATTTGTAGGTCACAGGGCAGTTTGGTGAGTGGGAGTGAGCCATCTGCACCCATAATTTTATCTTTCTTGTTCGAAGAATAAATGACACATATATTGTCACACACCTGATAACTCACTAAAAGTTTATATACACTGTTTTTAAATCACAGGTAATGCTAGCAGTCAAACTCAGTGGGTCGTGGATGCAGCGCGATGATAGCAGACCTGCTGTAGCAGTCCCTCCTGGTGACATGGGCTGGGTGGGCATACATGCACTTAATTAGTACTCCATGGAGATCAGGAGCAGCCAGTACACCAATAGTCTCAGTGAGCACATTCCCTGTAATTTCAGGGGGGAAGGACCTCTCAGCTGTTACTCCCTCCAATTCAGGCAGAGTCTCTCCACTGTTGTAGTCATATATTCCATGCGCCTTGAAGTCTCCAATCCTCCATCTAATGGTGCCGGGGAGTTTGATGCCACAAGAGAAGTTGGCCCACTGTCCCTCAGTGACTACGACTGACTGCGGATGCTTTCTAATAATGTCACGAGCATGCTGAAGTCTAAGAGCTACAAATGAATACAAAAACAGGCAATGTGGTGATCCATTCCAATTCAAAATGATGAAAAGTTGACATAAGCACCAAGTCATCACCAAAAAATGAAACACCAAGACAGAAAACTATTAATAGCGCCACCCTATATCTCTTTCTAGCAAATTCTAAAAACATTGCATGTTACAATTGTAGCGCATGAGTTGATTCTTGGGTTCAGGTGTGGTTAGGTAAGAGTTGCCATCCCTACTTAGAGTGTGTAGTGTTTACCAATTGTCTGATACAAACCAATTATGCTAAACAAAGCTGAAGGTTTTACTAACACCCCTCTCTATCACTGCGTGTAACACAGCCCGCTGTTATTGTTCACAACACTGGCTGATTGATCTATGTGCATGGTGGTGGCCTCAAGCTCACCTCTCTCAGTCCACCTGGCATTTTGAACTCCTGGAGAAGATCGTCTCTCCTGTGTAAATCTACCATCAGCTTCTGTATAATACCAGCAATACCTAATAAATTTCTCTATAATTATGCTTACGCAAATTTTATCTACTGATGGAACTAGATGGTTTTGAACTGCGCTTGCAGAGCAGATTGACTTCAGTAGATAAAGATACTGCAAAATGAAAGAATTATTATACAGAGGTATGCAGTTAAGCAAAGAATTATATAAGGCGCATTCCTAAATATAGGCATGCAAATTATTATAATTATTATCGGGTGAAGAAGGTTGAGTGTTGAGTGCATAGCTGTATGATTGCTAGCACATGAGAGAGAATAAGGCTGCATGAGCCAAGACCATTGGTTCCTCAAAGTGAATGGTGAAACTGAACTCTTAGATCCTTACCACATGTACTACCATCAGCATTCAACTCTTAGCCAGTACTGCAGCTACAGATATAAGATCCAACTGTATTCTCGCACGTCTGTGCACTGCCATGGTGTGGATACGACACTCATTGATATCTGTTCAACAAACCACACGTGTTTGTTACTTGGTGCATATTTCTTAGTGAAATACCTGTGCAGGTGCGCCCATCAGCATTCAGCTCATAGCCCTCATTACAGGCACAAATATAGGAGCCAACAGTACTCTCACACCAATACTCACACCCATGGTATGGGCCCAGGCATTCATCAACGTCTACACAAAAATAACAAAGGGTTATCGTGTAACAGTTAGAACAAATTAACTGTGCATCTTAATTATCCCATCTATGTTCAAAGAAAAGCCCTCATTACAGGTGCAAAAATAGGATCCATTTGTATTATACAAAGTCACTGCAGTCATTGTAAGAGCTCAAACATTCATTTATGTCTGTAGGAGAAAAAGTATTTTACCAGTAAGACTCTGAGAAAATAGGAAAGGTTCCGATTATTAGGTGAATAGGGAGAGATTGTTCTTACCTAAGCATGTATGCCTATCGGCATTCAAACTATATCCATCATTACAACTGCAGTTGTATGAGAGGAAGGTGTTTGTACAGACCTGCTCACAGCCACCATTGTCAGTTTCACACTCATCAACTAGAGAATCAGATAGCAATATGCTTGAAGCAATTACACCCATGACAACACTTTTTTCGAAGAGCTGCCCTGGATGGGGCTAGAGTGCACCTGTGCTCAGGTGGCAGGGCTCAAATACATAGGCAAAACTCATAATTACTCTGTAGGTTTCTTACCTGAACTTGCAATTTCGTAGACCACATTCACCCACTCACTGTTGGGCTCGTTCAGACAAGATAGAAAATACGGATGTTCCCTGTACGTGGCTCCATGCGTGATGTTCAGACCATCATTATTGTTGGAGAACCCAATTAGTCCAGGATCTGAGAAACTCATATCACCAGAGCGGTATGTAAATATGGCATAAGAGGATGTGGTAAAATCTGTCACTAGCATCCCTTGGAAGGTGTTGGTCTGTGGAGTAATTCAACTCTTTAAAGTTTTGAGACATGCATTACTATACTTACATTATTTTTCCGCAACTGGTTGGACATTATTCTAGGTAACAACGAGAACCCAGCTCCCATTGAAGTTAGTGTTCATATGCTGATTGATTACCTGATTAACAAGGGAGAGAATGTGCTGGGAACTGTTCCACTGGTGGATCTCGTATGAGATTGAGCCTCTTGATGGATCGTTGATTCGTTATCACTAAAGAAAGGAGATACAATTCCAGTATAGGTTTCCTCTTGTGTTACATCAGCCATAAATAAGAAGGAGCCATTTCTTAACACCTGAAGTCAAAAAACTAACATAATAGTACCATTATTTTGAAATAATAAAACCTACATAAATTCTTGGCTCAAGAGAGCTCCCAAAAGGAAATGATACATTGATTGACTGTGAAACTCCTCCAGTGTCAACTGAGTGTGTTTTTACACCAGGTGTTACTCCCAGATCAACATAGCGAAATGTCTCCATAACTGAAAGAGGAAAATAATATTTAGAAACAGTGGAAATATAGATATACCGTTCTCCTCTGAGCAGCTGATGTTGGCCACATCTTAACAGCAGTCTCCAAAATTGTAGCAAACAGCATCGCAGAAGCAATTGAAAGGGTGGAATTGGGCAGAAGCACAGTTTCCATTAGTACAGCACTCTGTAAATCCAGCCTGAACACGGCCTCATAGTCTTGAGTGAAGCCTGTCCCCTCTTTGTTCTTGAGAGGAAAATTGCACTCTTTGGTAGGTAGGCTTGCATCATAACAGTAGCCACTACGTTCAGTGTAGCCTGGTGGACACTCATTGATACACTCCAGAGTGTATGCATTGCAGAGGTTGACACATGAGTCACAGAAGTTGGAGCCCTCTCTAGCATACCCTCTGCTGCAGTCAGAATGACACTGCTCAGGAATGTTTGCCACTGCCTCTGGCACTGCACTCTGGACACTCCATAGAACTGAAACTCCACCCTACTAACAACGGCAACACCAGTTACATCACCAGTCCTGATGTTAAGGGTCCATTGTCCAGTTGGATTTTCTCCCCAGAACATGACTGACATGAAAGGCCAGTCAACGTATTCACTAGGCTTGTCATCAAATGGCCGTGGGTGAAGGAGAACTGATAGTGTCCCAGATGGAGATGTGAGTTCAATCTGTAAATCACCCCTTTCTTGATTGATATGATTCTTTGGTATGGCTACAGACATTTTGACAATCACATGCTCCAAGTAGTGGATGTCTGCGGTATAGTTTGCTGTTGCTGAGTATGTCACACCTGCAATTTCCTGTCTGAGAGAAAGAATTGGTGAATGTATCTGGAGAAGTGTCACTCAATATCAAGGTTCCAATAATAATTGTGTGTGTGTGCTGTTTTTTTAGATCAGTTGACTCTGCTCTAACTCACTGGGAAACATTGGTAATGTGGTGTTCTATCCAAGGAGGTACATTGATCCACTGTCTGGCTCTGGTGACCATGGCCTCAGCATCCATCACTCCAAACCCATACTGACGACTCACTGCCAGACCAGCTCCATTCCGTGTCAGAGGACCAGCAGTCAGGTGAGGATTGGCAGTGTAGGCTATCAGATACTGGACATCTCTCCATGTCAGACTTGGGCTACATGTAAACATTGCCTCTTGCAAAGGGAAATTATCACACTGCATGCAAGGTTGCATTACATAGTATTATTCTAGCAGTGTCACCCTTTTAATATTAACAACAAAATATGGTTCAGAATTGTCTGAAACAATTACCATTAGTGATAAGGATTTGTGTGTACATTGCACAGATGGTAGCTATGACTCAAAGTAATTATTACTAAAACAAATGTAACACATTTTTTGGGAGCAAGCGCGAGATCCACATGCATGGGCATAGTGTTATTAAGGCTTTATGTCTTACTTGACCTCAAGAGCTAAAGCAATAGCTCCTGACACCATTGGAGTTGCTGCACTTGTGCCTCCAAATTTCAAGGTACATTTTCTCCCTGGGTCTGTTGTTACCTGCATGTTATTATACACATGTAATTACACTGCATTAAACCTAATTTTACTTACAATTGCCATGTGTCCATTTTTATTAGTCACATAAGCTACAACCATCTTGGCACAACATTGCTCATCAAAACTACTAGCATGACCATCCACTCCAATAGCCCCAACAGCTATGGTGTATATACTGGAAACATATCCACAGTCATCTTCATCTCCTCCATTTCCACCAGCCCATACGTATATTGATCCCTTCCCATTCCGGCCCTACAGTTATCAAAGTCAATGAAAAAATGCATACCCTGCTACACTTTACTCACAATAGTTGCACCCATTTTGAAGACATCTTGCGTCAGAGTCCCAGGACCACTGACATGAGCTCCAGTGTCATATGGCCCCCAACTGTTGCTGTACACATCAATAATGTCCACAGCATATGACAGAGCCTCTGCTTCTTCCAAGTCAGTTCTACCACCACCATCCAACAGTTTTATACCTATTGGTTAAATATACCGAAGAGTTCTTGATTGCGAGTTCTTGATTGCGTGTGCTTACAGCAGGGAATCATTGAGATGAATCACGCGCTAACTAAGAATGCACATGGTCAGGTTTAGCAACTACTAGCTATATATGGTTGGCGGGGCCACATCTACGAGCGCTAAACTCGAGGTTCTGAGTGGATTAGCTTTTACAATGATGGCTAGAGCTTGGCTAAGTACAAAGTGCAACTTACAACAACGCTCTATTATCATAACACAGTCTATGTGGCAGCCAGTTATGAAGTATGTGCATACACAGTATGTATAACTGCATGCTCTGTAGGTAATGCCAGAATTCTAGCAATTCTGGAGTCAGGTGGTTATTTACTCACTTCGAAGATTGCACTGGTGCGCAACACCCACACCACAAGTAGAATTGTCTTGTGCTCCTGCGACTACTCCACAACGTCTGGTACCATGACGATGTTGGTAGTTTTCTCCTGCCAGATGGTCAAAGGAGGCAGAAGGAGCCTAAAAAGGTAAGTCCAGATTGTGGTGTTTTTGTTTTGCTCCAGGTAACTTACAAAGTTAGGCCATAGGTCAGGATGTCGGAAGTCTATTCCTATATTAATTAACACTTATAAAGGATTTAATAATCGATAGATATTACCGTCATCGACAACAGAAACAGTGATGTTGCAGCCGGTTAACCCCTGCAGCCAAGCTTGCTCCACTCTTAAATCATTTCCCCTGTATTGCTCTTCTGTGTTCAACTACATGTAAATAACATTACTGCTAATAATACATTCAGTAGAGCATCTTCTTCGTTTTGTTGATCGTGTAAGAGAATCTCTCAGCAGTGGCTCCCTCCAGCCCAGCCAGGCTACTAACACTGTTGTAGACACTGGCATTATTCTCAAAGTCTCCAATCCTCCACCGTATCATTCCAGGGAGTTTGATAGCACATGTGAAGTGTGCCCACCCTCCCTCAGTCACTACCACCGAGTGAGGGTGCTCTCTAATAGGGTCATTTCGAGTGATGGCTGCTGTAGAGACTGTAATGAAAACGCGGAAC